GTAGACAAAGAATATGCAACAAAATCTTTAACAAATTAATCTTATTTACCTAACCAATCTGAATTATTTAGTCATTTTATGGACTTTTAGTGTCCCAGCATAAACAAGGATTTATAAACTATGAAGGACTGAAAAGTAGTTTAGACTTTTTAGTTTTTCTTTTCAACATGGAGCATGAAACATTTCCAAATATCACGGTTGGGTAACTTAGCACATAAAAAGTGATTTCAAAAGAGTTTTCATTCTAAATGAAACTAAGACAAAACTGGACTGAAAGTCTCAACTTCATTTCTGGACATTTATGGTTTGATTTCTTTGTATGTATGGATCATTTGGGTTGTTACCAACATCTGGTGAAAATTTCATGTCATTAGCACCTCTAGTTATATATTTACTGAGAAAAATGTTGACGTGTTCAATACTTATTTTACCCGCTGTATATATAAAAATACCCCTTCTGTGTCTCAAAGACACCCTCTGTATTTTGTATATAATCAGTATTTTCAGTTACACAGTCTGACCAACTTTAGGACACTGAAGGGTGGATCTTCATTCCAGACATTCTTATGGGTAAAGTCTCATCTACTCCCAGGAAGCGACCACATTCTGGAGCTTTTCCCCTCCTCTCTTTAATAACTACAGTTTAAATTTCACGTACAACTGAAGGCTCGTGTCAGAGGAGAGTAATTTGACCCGAGGGGGTTCCGTCTCCAACAATGGCCTCACTGTAAATGAAAAGTTGCCGTCCCMTCGTGTCATGTTATGTGACAGCTCCAGCTTTCTCCTTCTCTTGTTTCTCCACACCTGCTGCCACAGGCTATTTTGGTATTTTAGGGATACATAACTTCTTGGGGGTGGTCCTTAAATATTCTCGGGGTTTCTTCAAGAAAGAAAAAATGCTCAAGAACTTGCCTAATCCCATGATCCATCACTGCTTGGTGTTTGCAAAATGAAGCTTTTCGTGTAAAATAAAAAGCTGAGCGGTTTCTCCAAGCGAGAAACAAGGGATCTGTTGATAAAAGGATTTGGCCCCAGCTTGGACCTTTTCTTCTTCAGCCAAAATCACGACCTTTGTCAACAAAATAAGTCAAGAAATGTCAAGAAGAGAGGAAAGTGCAGCTTTTTAAACATAAAGGGATMAAAGCTAAAAACATGTTAAAAGCTGTGTTTATAAATATGAGCTGTGCCTTTAGAGGGAAGGAGAACATTTTTAATCCTAATCTACTTTCTCCTGTTGCATACAGACTTACTACAACACCACTGCCCTCTGCAGGATGTATTAGAGAAATCTTCTCTTCTTCCACCATTAACCTAAAAGTAGATTTTACATCTTTAAAGAAAACACATTTGCATCCAAATTGCAAACTTAATACATTATTTACAACCCTATGTGAATGATACTTTATACAGCAGGGCTATTCAACTGGCGGCCCACAGGCCACATCCAGCCCACGAGTGACCAAAGTTGGGCCCGACAATTGTTTCATTCGTCTCTTCAGCCCAAACCCCATTTTTCTACTTTAATTACGATAAGTTCTCTTAGTTAGACATARWCRTGTTTGGTATCTACAGAAACATATGAATCTTGGCTAGAAGCTGCTAAAAACATTTCCATGAACATCCAAGACAGTTAACAAGCAGTTGAAGATAAAACGATGCAAGTGGAAATAAAATTGTTTTAAGCATTTGACAAGTTAGAGATGTAAAAGTTGTATTTTTGTTAAATAGGAGGCATAATGTTATTTTTGTTTTTGAGATWGTTTTACTATCTCTACTTTTATCCACAGGGTTCTGTATGTTGTATTCATGATTAAATGCAGCAAAATAATTATAATTGCAAAGGTAACAGATCTATATAATAATTGATTTATTTACATAATGACTCTAATTGCTGGATGTTCGGCCCCTGTGCTGTTGGCCTGCATTAACTGTGAACCCGCAATAGCAAGCATAGTTGAATAGCCCTGTTATATAGGCTTGAATCCACTGTAAATATTTCTACTTTTAACGTACAAAGAACATGATAAAGTTTTGCAACTCCCAAACGGCTGTAAATAATTGATTATTTTTACGTTTTCTTTAAAGATGCACTTTCAGCTTGATAAAAAAAATAGAAAATGAGAGTTTTCTTCTTGGATAAGCTCTATGTTGAGATACTGAGACGACCACTGGTAATTGCTTTGTGGGCTAAAGTTAACCAAAGGGAGTGAAGTCTTTGTAGATTTCCCAGTTGAGATCAGCCTCATTAAACGGAGTGGATCTCTGGGGGGACTTGGTTGTTTAAATAATAAAAAAAAGAACTGATCAAGGACTAATATTTAATGTCATATCCCCCTTTTTATTCTAGTCTCTTTCAGCAGATTCTCTAGAGATTTAATCGTTTCTGTTGCAATAAAATTGTGAAATATTGTCAACTAGCTGGTGTCTCTCCTTCGTGGCTGACCTTAAAAGCCCCGTCCTGGAGGGGCGATGCTGATCGGCCCCTCGCTCCTCCCCCACCTCAGCTTTACCGCAGTGCAGTTCGCCCTGCCAGAACCTACAAAGGCAGCGCTGCTTCGGGGCCTGAGCGTCACTGAAAGGCCTGACGAATGAACAGAGAAGCCAAAGATCTGCGACCGACTGGGGGGGAGAAAAACGCAATCTTTACAATTACAAGATTCACAAAACAATTTCTTTCTGAAAACAATACTTGGTTTTAATGTCACACTTAAAATACATCAGTTTGAGACATTTCATTTGCTTTTTTAAAAAGCTGTTCTTTCATTTATTACTTCATTCTGCAAAATGAAATGTATAGTGCTGAACTGCTTCAAATGTGTTTTTAACCGTTGAGCTGCCAATAAAAACAAAACTTCAAACTTTCATGTGTGATCTTTGACACAAAAACGCTACTTTTCCTAAAATTCCTACATTCATATGTCAGTTTTTTCAGACCATAACGCACCGTGGCAGTGAATTTAATGCATTTCAGTAACTAAAGTGCTTTATAGGTCTCTTTAAATTAACTTTGTTAGTTTAACTACCAGAATTTTTATTAAAAAAAGAAAAGAAAAAAGGAAAATCTGCTTGTTTACTTCAAGCAAAAAAAAAAAATTACAAAGTGTCTCTACAGTAAACATTACTTCCATAAGTTTTCTTCTATTTTTTGCTGATCCCAATAAAAACCGTGGCACAGCTTTGGTGTTCAGGGACGTTCCAGTCTGTTACTTAAGATGATTCTGAAACCTTCTTCGTCTTTGTGTTGACCAAATGTGATTTCTTGAAGCCACTCTGTTGAGATCAAGAAAAATGTTAAATACCATACGAGAGCTCTGACTGTTTAAATCTGAATTCTGATCTGAATTATTCATTCTCTAAATGAACAAGAGTCCTCTTCAATGATAAATTAACATTGACCAACCATAACTTTATGACCACCTGTCTAACAATTAATCAGATTATTTTTATTTATTTAAATTTTTTTTTAATGAAACTCAAATCTGAGAGGCAGAAGCAAAAACATGTAATGGGTAACGGTCCTAAATCACGAAGCATTTACTGAGATCAGATGAAGATTTACAGAAAAGATGAACAATTACTGACAAATTAGAAGTGTGTTTTAGCTTAAAATACCCATCTCTGCTGAGATTTCTTAGGTTTTCAGAATCTTTTGAAAATGTTATACTCTAGATATAATAGATCTAAATTTAAGACGTAGATTTTTGAGTTAAGTTTGACTGGAAGTGTTGAGCTACAATAAACGCATTCTTGTAAAGACTTATTAGCCTTTCGTGGATGCTCTTTTTCTTTTCAATCTTCACATAACCACCCATATAATTCTAAAACTTCTGTCTTTTTACACAACGTTGGGTAAGTTAGTTCATAAAGAGTCAACAGTTTTTTTTTGTTAGATGATTTAAATAAAACCACAAATACCAATACTTGTTGAATTTTAGACATTTTCTCAGGGGGTGTGGCTAACTAAGAAACAAAAACATAGCGCCACAGTGTGAAATGTGAAGGGTGTCACCTTCTTTAGGGTCGAGCGCATTTCAGGGTAGTCCCACATTATCTGCAGCAGAATACAGGCCTTCTTGCTTGCTTGACTGGACCCATAAGAAAGACAGAAAAGGTTAAAACTGGGTCAGAAATAATTTTGCTTTCTGCACGGGAGCTATTTTGATTAATAAAAGAAGCTAATGAAGCACAAATGTTGAAAGGYGAGAGCTGAGTCACCCGTTGTCTTTGCTGCTGATGTTGAGGATCTTCTTCAGGGCTCCCTGCTTGAGGACGGCTTTGACGGTTTCCACGTCAGTCTTGCTCAGCTGAACGAGGACGTGGAGCAGATTAGTCATCGTCTCGTTGGGCAGGTCGGTCTCCAGCAGCACGTCCAGTAACTCCTGCAAGAGTTGGCTCGCTGCGAGTTAAAAGTTCATTTAGTGTTCATTCAAAAGAAGCACTGTTGGAGCGTCAAAGAATGTGAAGCTGGTTACCGATGAGAGGATGCAGCTCATTGTGGTTCGAGAGGTTCGCTGTGAGAGAGACGGTGGTTTTCTGTAAATCACAGCTCGCCCCTTTTAAAATGTTCTTAATGTGCTGGAATATATTTTCCTGCTGACAAAAAGGGACGGTGAAGGCTTTGGATGTCTGTGAGGGAACAGGAAGACTATTTAGAAWCTGCTCATGGATTAACCCTTAGCACAAAGTAGTATATGCAAGTATCCTTTAAGAATACTAATTTTCAACTTAAAAAAATAATAAAAGGAGTGTACTTCCAGTTGACTTTTTATGTACTTATCTGAGATATACTTAACCATGTTTATCTTATTACACTTGGCTTGTACTAAAAGTTTACTAAAAGTTCAAGTATACTTGGTCTATGCTAAACTTTTGACCAGGGTAAACTTTAGTAGTGCACTGAAAGTACATTTACACACAGACTGCTTTATTTGTAGTATACAGCGGGTAAATAAGTATTGAACACGTCACCATTTWTCTCAGTAAATATATTACTAGAGGTGCTAATGACATGAAATTTTCACCAGATGTTGGTAACAACCCAMGTGATCCATACATACAAAGAAATCAAACCATAAATGTCCAGAAATGAAGTTATTTGTAATAACGTGGAATGGCACAGGGAAAAAGTATTGAACACACTTACTGAAATTTATCTAATACTTTGTACAAAAGCCTTTGTTGTCAATGACAGCTTCAAGACGCCTCCTGTATGGAGAAACTAGTGGCATGCATTGCTCAGGTGTGATTTTGGCCCATTCTTCCACACAAACAGTCTTCAAATCTTGAAGGTTTCGTGGACCTCTTCTATGAACTCTGATCTTTAGTTCTTTCCATAGATTTTCTGTTGGATTCAGGTCAGGTGATTGGCTGGGCCATTCCAGCAGCTTTAGTTTCTTTCTCTGAAACCAAATGAGAGTTTCCTTGGCTTTGTGTTTGGGMTCATTGTCTTGCTGAAATGTCCAGCCACGTTTCATCTTCATCATCCTGGTAGATGGAAGCAGATTTTTATCAAGAATGTCTCTGTACATTTTTCCACTCATCCTTCCTTCAATTATTTGAAGTTTGCCAGTACCATATGCTGAAAAACAGCCCCACACCATGATGTTTCCACCTCCAAACTTCACTGTTGGTATGGTGTTTTTGGGCTGATGTGCAGTGCCATTTGACCTCCAAACATGATGTGTATTCTGGCATCCAAACAGTTCAATGTTGGTCTCATCTGACCAGACAGTCAGAAATCTTGTGAGGAGCACCTGGTCGTGGTCGGTTTATGGCGAAATGATGTTCTTTCCACTTCTGAATWATGGCCCCAACAGTGCTCACTGGAACCTTCAGAAGTTTAGACATTCTTCTGTAACCGATGCCATCATTATGCTTTGCAACAATAAGGTTGTGAAGGTCTTGAGAGAGCTCTTTACTTTTACCCATCATCAGATGGTTCTTGTGTGATACCTGGCCATCATTTGGGACTGAACCAGCTGATATTAACTTGCACTGACAAGGGGCAGGCTTGCTTTCTAATTACTGAGAGAGTTCAGCTGGTGTCTTGTCTTTCCATGCCTTTTTACACCTCCCTTTCTTCATGTGTTCAATACTTTTCCCTGTGCCATTCCACATTATTACAAATAACTTCATTTCTGGACATTTATGGTTTGATTTCTTTGTATGTATGGATCACTTGGGTTGTTACCAACATCTGGTGAAAATTTCATGTCATTAGCACCTCTAGTAATATATTTACTGAGAAAAATGGTGACGTGTTCAATACTTATTTTACCCGCTGTTTTTCAAGATTAAACTAAAAGTATACTTAGAATATTACTTCCAGTATACTTCTGAGTATACCTTCATAAAGTTATTGTGGGTCAATTTAGTCCTAGAAGTATACTTGTTAGTAAACTGCAAGTATATCAGTGTACATGGTAAATAAAAGTACACTTGGGGAAATTCACTTTTATATAATTTAGTATATTTAATGACATGTACTTAAAGTATACTTCTTTTTGGTAAATTTCTAAACATTATAACAGTATACTTAAAATATACTTTTTATAAACAAAAAAAATCTCAATTTAGTACGAACAAGTATTAAATTAGTATACTTTCTAGTACACTACAAGTACATGGTGCCTAGTATACTTGATATACTTAAACTTATACTCAAGTATACTTGTCAAAATTAACTTCAAGTATTTTTGCTAAGGGTATATTTACATAAAATCCCTTTTATCAATCACATTTCAAAGAAATACAGGAAAATAAAATACTTCATTAGGAAGAAAACAAACAACTCAGACTAAATAAATGGATCTGATAAAACTCATGATATCAGTTAATTTATAAATATAACAATTTACAAACAACCAGAGCTGATCTCTGTCCCGTCTCACCCCTTGATTTTCAGCGGTGATGTTTTGCAAAGCCCCGACGGCAGCTTCCTTCGTGAGCGGCCGCGTGCTGCAGACCGCCAGCGACACGTACATCCTCATGGCGATGGGGCTCCACAGCCACTCTGCGCCCCGTGGGTTGGGATTGGCCACCAGCAGGGGGCGCTGCTGCTCCACATCCTGGACAGGGAAGGAATGAAAGCTGCTGAGCTGGGAGCACACTATAGACTTCCTGCAAACACATTAGCAAAGAGCTGATTTAACTTGCAAACTAAACTTTTCTTCTGGTTTCCTCAGCTCACACAAACAACATATTTTATAATAAGTTATTTACTTCCTGTCATTAGAGTGCTAAAGCTGAATACTTTGCGGTTGCCACCTTTTTATTTTCTGTATTGTTTCCTAAACTGGTTTCAATAAAGTCATGTGCTGACATGAAGGAGCCAAAGTTTGAGCTAACATTCCGGTGGACGCAGGTGCTCCTTGCAAACCCATCATTTAACAGTTCACTTTAATTTCCCTCAACCACTAATGCAATGAAAGGAGGAAGCTCACCTTCAAAGCAGCTCCTTAAGCATGATTAATGAACATCCTTCTCAGACAATAAATCACAAGCGGGGGGGGRTCTTTTCAACCATTAAAGTGGGATTACGGAGCACGGGGATTACCTTTGTGATTTTGGCGCTGCGATGGGAAAAACAGCCCACACCCGTCTGCTTGGGAGGCGGGTTTTGTCGAGATCCTCTGGGGAGCTGCRTGTGTTGCTGCGGGATCTCTGGACAAAACTGAAAAGTCAGGTTGCGCAGGATGCAGACGCAGTTTTCTGTAGACTTAAAAGAGGAAACGGAAGAAAAGAAAAGTGACTCACTTCGATGAAAGCAAGCTGGTTCAACATGCACACTTAACAAGCGTGAAGCAGMCATTCTTGTTTGTGAGTATTCAGCGTCATTGTGTAGACGACACTTCCTCTAAGCGTTACCTTGTCATCAGTGTTTTGGTTGGCTACTGTCCCTCGGATGTAGTAAATGAGCGAGTCGATGAGGTTCTCACACGCCCTCATCGTTCGCCGGACGTCTGGGCCAGCAGAGCTCAGATTTCTGCAGACACACACACACACACACAAAAGAATCATGGTAATGCAGCATGTGTGTGTGTGTGTTTTTTTTTTTTTTCAGAAAACTAGAACCTAAAATCAAAGGAGTTGTGTAAAATGCAAACAAAAGCAAAAAGCAGTGACTGAAAGTATTTTTTCCTCCACTGTGAGCTCGAAAGGAACTTGATAAGACCGGTGCAGTGAGATTGAAGTTAGTCGAGTGGAGAGATGAGAAAGCTCGTTGAATAATTTAACCTTTCTCTTTTTTTTACTGCTTGTAGTCGCCAGGGGAGCGCTGCTTCGGCTTTCTCCTGCTTTGTAAACACACACGTGGTTTTAGGTCTAAACAAGTTAGAAAGCAAATGCATGATTCATGATATCAGCTCATAACAGCTGGAGTAACTTTACTGGGAACCCAWCATGGTACAGAACATTTCCAAAGAACCCTGCTCAGTTTTTCCTGAAGTTATCAGTCTGCGGCGTCGACTTAGTCATCGCCTCCATCACTAGATTAAACTCTCAGATCTGAGCTGATCATAAGTTATGTTTTTTTTAAGAGGGTGAAGGTTAGAAATCCTGATCTAGATGTATTTTAACGTTAGGATACGTACTTTAGGCAGCCTGTGGCGTTGTAGAAAGCATTAGCATCAGCAAGGAGCTCGTCCTTTGGGTGTTCACCTTCAAAAATGCCAGAGCTGGGCACCAGGATTGACTTGGTTAAGATGCAAGCTGTGTTTTCAGGGAAACACACCTTTAAAACGTCATGAGAGGAGAGATTCCACATGAGACCTAAGAGACAGAGAGAGAAAGGAAATTTTAAAACCTGGTTCTAATATTTTGTATTGAAAAACACATTTCAGGTTATAACTGTAGCTACAATTTMATAAAGTGGACCAATGTTTACACAGTTTCTTTCCTTTACTATTATTTTAAAAGGAGAACAAGAAAATATATTAAACGTTTACTGTTGTATGTTTCTTTTATGTGCAGCTTGTTGAGGTATCTAGTGGCATGAACTGCAAACTGCAACAAAATATAAAATCCTGAACTATCTTTTTATACAAAGCATGAAGGAAAAATTTAAGCCATCTATTCTAGAGATAAAGTTTCTTATTATTTTCATGCTAACAGATGAGGTTTACTTCTTATTGTTTTGACTCCAGGGTATATACAGTAAATCTACGCACTGACCAGTAAGCTGGCGTCTCGTCTCCTTATCGATGCTGCTTGCCAGAGTATTCAGAATKACGACCATGCCGTCGTGGTCCTTCACCTCCAGCTTATTTTCTTCGTTATTGTGGACGACGTTCCGCAGAGCTCCGGCAGCGGCGCGTTGCACCTCCTCGCTGTCGTTGTTAAGGAGCTGCAGGAGCAGTTCGATCCCCTGCCGTTCAAGCACCTGAAACCAAGAGATGATGATTTACTGACAGATTTACAAACTGACAAATGCTGACATGAAACAGCCAAACTAAATTAATTAGTTTGCACATGAAAACCTTTCTGTAAAAAGTCAGTTTGAACGCTGCTTGCTGAAGAAAGCTGTGTTGTTTAAGCCATGAGAAGCAGAAGACTAAAAGCTAAAGAAGCAAATTGCTAGCTAAAGACCAGGAGTAGCAGAAAGTTAGCTAAACCCAAAGGTAGTTAGAAGCTAAAAGTAAAAGGCTAGCGAGATGTTAAAGTAGCAAAAGTTTAGCTAAAAGTAACAAAAAGCTAACTAAAAAGGTAAACACAGCAAAATAACAGTGAAACGTGTCAATGGGCTAACATGAAGCTAAAGGTAGCAAAAAGACAGTTAGAAGCTAAAAGATACTGGATAACTGAGCCTAGCTACTAGCCTTTTGATACATTTAGCTAGATGCTACATGCTAGATGCTACAACTATTAGTGCGAGAATTGCATATAAAAAGGTACAAGCTAATATTTACAGAGTAGCTAAAAGTTAAAAGTAGCAAAAGGTTGAAGTTAATAAAAAAAAGTTGTCTCAAAACCAAAAACAGCAAATAGCATTTATACTGAAGATGATTTCAAAAAGAACAATGTTTTTGAAGAAACTGGTGAAATTTCAATGTATTTCTATTTGTAATTAGTTAGATATGTTTAAAAGTAAAAAAGTTACAAAAAACAAGTATAAAAAATGAGCTGAATAAGACTGAGAAAAAAACTTACACAAAATATTAAAACAAGTTTCTCATCAGCTTTAATTACTCTGTAAATACGGACGAAGAACATTTTTAATGAAGGTAGACAGATCAGACCTACCGTCATCTTGGCCTCATCTCTCTGGAAACACTGGTTTTGTATGAAGTAAGCTGCTTTTATCAGAGTCTCCTCATCACTGCTGATCAAAAGGCTCACAGCCTTCTTCATCGTCATCTCTGGAGGTTTGTTCTTCGATTCCCTGTGAGACATACAAACACATTCACGACATGAAYCAAGGCAATGCAGGGACATTCTGAACGCAGGAAGAATGAACACAAATCTTACTGTGTCGTGAGATGTTGTTTCTGCTGCACACTGAGTTGTCTCTCTGGGCCTCTCTCTGCTCTGTCGCCAGCCGGCGGGAATGATTTCAGTCTCCTGAGCTTCTGGCCATCTGTCTTGACCTGAACCGGCCAGATCAAGCCCTCATCGGTCCAGGGARAGCCGAACATCTGATCGATGTGTTTTTCCTGTTTTACAGTGTTTTGTCTGTGACTGCTCAGGAAGCCGTTCTTAGCGTGCTGCTGAAACCGTGCAGAGGCAGACTCCGATGGAACGGTCTGTCTGAAGGGCGTGTGGCTGAGGGTCCTCGGTGTGGACAGCCGCTTGCCGCGAGCCGCCTCAGAGAAAGCATAGCGCTGAAATGAATCAGAGTTACCGGAGGACTTCAGAGTCCCGGAAACGTGTGACTGACCGGGTCCTGGGACTGTATTCATCCAGTGCTGATACGTGCTGTAACTGTGGCCACTACGAAACAAATCTGGGTTGTGTTTTGGAGACATTTCCACCTTCCTGGAAGGTCTCTTCACATGATTCATGGATAAGGTGCGGCTAATGAAGCTYGACCCATTTACCTAAAGGAGGAAAAAAGAACAACTGTATTTATTTTTGTTAACAAACTCTTTTTATTCTTTTTATTTTGCAAATATTGTCAATATTTCTTGCCCCAGCTTAAAATCTTTCTCATAATTTTTGACAAATGTAGCACAAAATTAAATCAATTACTGCTTTGTTGCAACAATCCCTTTTGGTGATCAGTCTAATATTGTTGAAATGATGTCACTTCTGGTTAAAATAAAAAGTATTTATGTGGGTAGTGGCCACGAAAAACTTGCTAAATTTTGTTCACCAACGTCAAACTCCTTCATCTGCTGTTGACTCCTGTTTGGTGTCATTTACTTTTCATGCTGACATTTTAACAATGAAGACATTGAACAAACAGTTGTAGGAGCACGTGGAAGAACCATACGCAGCCACAACAGCATTTTGTTTAAACTCTTTCAACTTTTTTATAAACATACACAAAATATGCTACGATGAAAAATAATGTCATTGTTTAAAATGTGTGGATTTGTTTTGATGTAAAGATTTAAGCTCAACATTTTTTTAACTACCAACGTTTAAGCTGTTTTGTATTGTAGCTATAATAAATAATTCATAAAATGAAGACTTTACACCTGATCAGACTTGATATATTTGTCATTTTCGGGGATCCACACTTCCTTCAAATGATCAAAAATTACCTTCAGTTCAATGTGAATCTAAAGTTATGACTTGGAAATTTTGAGCATCAACAAAACAGCAGCAGAAAACCATTAACCCTCTCATTTGGCTAAATTCAAACTACAATGCACGACATGTTAGAGCGTGTTTAGAGCTGCACATCCAACTAGCTTCTTATATTACAAGTATAATTTATCTCAGGTTATTTTTAAACATAAAAAAACAAGATAAATATCTTTGTGACAAATTCAAGTTGAGGAATTGTTGTAAAAACAGTGCTTTACCTTTGGGTTTAATGAAAATCCGTCAGCAGCATCTAAACTTCTCGCTGTATTTCTCTGCAAACTGACACCACCTGAAACAAGTTCGAAAAGGTTTCTTATTAGTTTACGGTTTCTCGCTGCGTTCGTATAAACATGTGGCTGAACTATGACAGAACAGTATTAAATCGCAGCTCTCTGTCTTTATAATCTGCTAACGAAACGTTAAGTTATTTGAGAAATTAAGAAGGCAACAAGAGAGAGAGCAAACAGGTGAGACCAAATGTATTTTAAATCATTTTCTGTTTTGCTAAATTTAGCCTTTAGCTGCTGTCTTGCTACATTAGGCTGCAATTAGTGTCCCCATTTATTTCTATTTTTAGGGCTTTAAAAAAAACTAATTATA